AGACGACGAGGGTGACGAAGGTGAAGGTGCCGGCAGCCATAGCCGAGGTGAGGAGTTGACCGGGCGTTGACCGAACCGTTGACCAGAGGGTTGCCCGAGGGTTGACCAGAGGGTTGACCAGGCGATGACCAGGGGTGTTGACCAAGCGCTGACCGGGGTTGACCACGTTGACTCGGCGTTGACCAAGGCGTTGACCGGAGCTGCTGCCCAAGATTTTGACCAAGCTGGAGTTGGTGATATCTCGTTGACCCTTCAGCCTATCCCCTTACCCTGTGGATGTGCACTTACCCCACGGTACTTGCTGAGTTGTCTGTCTACTCTTTCTGCATTGAGTCTCTTCTGTCTTAGGTGCTAGGACTCTGTGGATGAAGGATAGGGCCTTGCTGCCAAACCTGCACGGGCTTAGTAGGACCAAAGCTCTACTCTGGCACTTGGAGACCTGGGCATGAGCGACGAGCGCTCGTTAAACAACTCGTCTAGCCCAATGATCGGTACTGTCTGGCAGGTCTACTGAGTTTAGTGTAGAGGGTCTGAACTCCGAGCTGTAGGCTGAAACGAGGGTCGTCTCTAAGTGTTGAGGCCTGGTTGAGCCACTCCCCTACCAGACCCCGAAGGCTGATGATCCGTGTCTGACGACTCGACTGACCCGAGGGACACGAACCCCTCCAAGGACCGGTACTGACCGGCGGGCTGCTCGGTTTGGCACAGGAGTCTGAAAGGGATGAGTTGTGGGCTGAAATCGCCAGAGGAACCAAGCTGATCGCGTCGTCCTGTCTGCGACGTTAAAGAATTCTTGCGGAGTTTGGGGGATCTCCTTAAATGCCTCCTGATCAGCCCTTGGTTCTGTAGTGACAGCCTTAGAGTAGTCTTGGGTTAGTAGTGACCATAGTTGACAGGGTCTTACCCTGTGGTCCTTAGAGAGTCAGTGGGTAAGTTAGTGTCCGGGTAGGTCTAAGTGGTGAGGAGTGGGACTCTTATCGTGCACCAAACACCACAATGGACGACTATCCGATGTATGGGTTGATTGTTGGGTTCTCCCTCTGGGGGACCCTCTGGCGTCTCCTCTTCCCTCTGGGCTTCTGGCCCACTGTTGCGTGTAGAGTAGGGCCCACTCGTGGTGGTACTTCCACCCAGCCATACACAAAGGAGGAGGAGGAGAAGATGGTCGTCGTCCTGAGGGAAAAGAAGGAAAAGAAAGAGGCAAAGAAGAAGGCCCTACAGGAGGAGCAGGCGGCCAAGTTAAAAAAGATTGAGGAAGAGATGGTCAGAGAGAAGGAGAGGATCAAGAAAGAAGAAGAGCAGAAATTGAAGGAGGTGGAAGAAGAGGAAGAGGAAGATGAAACGCCACTGGAGAGGAAGAGAGTGCAATACAGTGGCAGCAGGGATGCTGAGATGGAGAAACACATCTCGGAGTGGGTTGCCAACTTATCCTTGGGTGAAGAAGAAGAGGTAGCAATGTATATACCCAAGGATGATCAGGAAGCCGCTATGAAAGCCTGGGAAGCAGAAAAAGATGTTGTGAAGCGGCAGGCGATGGAAGATGAGAAGAGGATGGAATGGAGATTGGCAGTGATGAGGGAAAAAAAGAGGAGAGTGGACGCAGCAGCGGAGGCGACAGAAGAATTGGAAGAGGTAAAAAACATAGAAGAGCAGTTAGCCGCTCAGACCGAACTCCCGGCTCAAATGCGAGTCATAGCTCGAAATGTTGCATGCCTGGCCCGAATTCAGGGGGAGCAATATGACTTTAGTAGGAGTCAACATATAGTTGTGCGTTCAATCAAGTTGGGGTTCCGGGAATTTGCGCGCGAGCTGGTAGGCGTTGTGGGAACCGAGGTGGGCCACCGCCTCGACAAGACTGAGCGATTTTGTGCCAGCGCCATTGAAGGCGTTAAAGCGGCAGCTCCCAAGGAGGAGGAAGCACGTCCTCCTCGCCGAGAGCCGGTCAAAGTCAAATTCCCCGATTCCTACAGTGGAAAACGGGAAGAGAACTTTGACAATTGGGAGGCCAATGTCAAGATCTATGTGCATTTGCAACAGATCTCCCTGGATCAGCAGGTCTTGATCGCGATCCACGCATTGAGAGATGAGGCCGCTAGTTTTGCAAGGTCCCTGGTTCGCGCTGCCAACTGTAGTGACGACCCCGTTGCATACTCCTCATTCACTTCCCTCACTGAGTTCTTGAAGCTGTTGCGCGAGAGGTTCGCCGATGTCGCCCGTAGCGTTAAGGCCTCGGACAAGCTCCAGACCATCCATTCTCGTAAATGGAAGAGTGCCAGCGCACTCAAGGGTACAATGGATGAGTTGGTGGCCGTCCCCGACCACGGGGTCACAGAGGGCCAATTGGTCAATCTCTTCTATCGGGCTATGCCCGAAGCCTTTCGAGGGCAGTTCTTCGCGAAGAGCGAAGACCCTGCCACCACCTACGATTCCCTTAGCCGTGAAGTGGTGGCTTTTGAAGCGAAGTCCGTGTCCCTATCTACCTTATGGCACAAGGACTTGGACAGGGGGAAGCAATGGAAAGGCCACACTATCTCAGGGCAGGTAAAGACCAAGGACAGCCTTGTCCTGACTTTAGACGAGGGTAGTGTGGATGAGATCCCCTACTACCAGATTGAGTGGGGGTTAGAGGAGGAGGACAGCGGTGTGGGCCAGGGGAGGACTTACGCTGCTCTCGTGGCCGGAGGGAGGCCACAAGGAGGAGGACGAGGCCAGGGCCAAGGGGGCCGGGCCTCAGGGAGCCGATTTCAGGGCGATCAGGGGGTTGGCGGAAGGGGAGGAAACTGCCAAGCGGGAGGCAGGGGTCAAGGTCCCCCGCAAAACCGTCCTGGGAACAAGCCTCCCTATAGGGTAGGAGGATGGCACCCGGGGCTACCACAGGGTAGACCTTGGGAAACTTTGGGTCTGGACCAAACTTTATGGCAACAACGATTGGACCGAGGCCAGTGCATTTTCTACGGTGACCCGGGCCACATCATCAAATACTGTCCTAAGTATCGAGAGACCCGAACGGCTGCTCAAGGGCCAAAAGGCAGCCGCCGGTAGGGGTAGCAACTGCCCCTACCATTAGGCCATGTGGGGAACATAGCGCTAGCCGGCAGGAGACTCCCACACCACATGTGCCTATGGCAGAGGTTGCAGGCCGGTGTCTAGGCAGCTGTCCCGAAACTGCTTGTGTTAGAGTTTCGCTAGACACCTCCCTCACAGGCGTGGCCGCAGAGTTGAAGGAGAGGAGGCCCGCCTGGGCCAAGATGAAGAAAGAAAATAAAGGGCAGCTGATTTTGCTAGATACAGAGATTTTTAGAAGTAGAGTAGGGGCCCTAGTAGACTCAGGGGCCACCCGCAGCTATATCAGTAAGAAAGCGCTGCAGAAGTTGAAGCTGGGACTTAAAGTCCAGAAACTGACAGACCCCATAGTTAGTATCCTCGCGGACAATTGTACTATGATTGTAGAGGATTACGTAGAGGGAGTCCAGGCGTGTTTCCGCCTAGAGAAAGATGGGAAAGTGGAGAAGGTCCTCCACTCCCTGACTCTCCTTGTAGARGACAGCCTCCCATTTGACATTGTCCTGGGAATGGATTGGGGAGAGGCAGCCGGGGCCACGCTCCATTTGAAGGAGCACGAGTGTAGGCTCCCTAGTTCTTCGGGCGAGGCTAAGACCGCCCGCCTGTTCCATGTGTTAGGCGTAGAGAATTCCTTGGCACATTGCTGCCTTAGTGCTCCTGCGTTCGCCAGATTGGTGAAAAAGGAGAAACGGGAGGAATAGGTTTTTGTTGCCTATGTCAGGCCACTGACTGAGCCTACGGAAGAGAAGCCGATGGACCCTGCGCTTGCCAAGCTGCTGGAAGAGTTTAGGGATTTGACTGAGCCACCGACAGGCACGGTGCCGCGGCCCATCCAGCACCGTATTGAGATAGAGCCTGGCAGTAGAACTCCTAAGGGTGCGGTGTATAGGATGTCCCCGCGGGAGTTAGAGGAGCTTCGCAAGCAATTGGACGAGCTCCTCGAGAAGGGTTGGATTAGGCCCAGTCCGTCTCCTTTCGGAGCGCCTATCCTCTTTGTTCCTAAGAAAGAGGGAGAGTTGAGAATGTGTATAGACTATAGGGGACTGAATGCGATTACAGTGAAGAATGYTGAGCCACTGCCTAKGATAGACGATCTTTTAGATCGAGTGCAGGGGGCCAAGTATTTCTCCAAAATAGATTTGAAGTCCGGATATCATCAGATAGAGGTGCATCCTGATGATCAGTATAAGACAGCCTTTCGGACTAGATATGGGCACTACGAGTTCATAGTGATGCCTTTTGGACGATTTGTTCAGGCCGTGGTTAGATAGATTTGTTGTAGTTTATCTAGACAACATCCTAGTGTTTAGTCGGACCCTCGAAGAGCATCAGGGTCATCTCAGGCAGGTCTTGGAGAAGCTGAGGGAAGCTAACTTCAAGATCAATGCGAAGAAGTGCGATTGGGCGAAGACCCAAGTTTTGTATCTAGGCCACGTCTTAGACGGAGACGGCGTCAAACCAGAGGATAACAAGATCGCAGCGATTAGAGATTGGCCCACGCCACGTACGCTGACAAAGTTGCGTTCGTTCCTGGGCTTAGCTAATTACTATAGGAAGTTCGTGAGGAACTTCTCTACCATCGTTGCGCCCCTTCGCCGGTTGTTGAGAAAGGAGACCATCTGGAAGTGGGATAAGGACTACACGTCTTCCATGAAGAAGTTAAAGCAGGCGTTGATAGAGTATCCGGTCCTTAAGGTCGCCGATCCGTCCTTGCCGTTTGTCGTTACTACGGATGCTAGCCAGTACGGCATAGGCGCGGTGTTGCAGCAAGACGATGGCAATGGTTATAGACCCGTAGAGTTCATGTCCGCTAGAATGCCTTCAGAGAAGGTCGCGACATCCACCTATGAGAGGGAACTCTACGCTCTCAGGCAAGCGCTAGACCACTGGAAGCACTACTTGCTTGGGAGGCACTTCAAAGTCTATTCTGACCATGAAACGTTACGATGGTTAAAGACGCAGGCCAAGATGACACCTAAGCTTACTAGGTGGGCCGCCGAGATAGATCAGTACGACTTCGAGCTCAAGCATGTCAAGGGGAAGTACAACGTAGTTGCGGATGCTCTGAGTAGGAGGGCAGATTACTTTGGGGCGATAGTGCATTACCTCGATATAGGAAAGGACCTACAGCAGAAGGTTAGGGAGGCCTACGCACAGGACCTTATCTATAGTGACCTCCTTAAGAAAGTCAAAGAGGCCCCACAGACTGAGCCGAACTACCGCACTACTGAAGGGCTACTCTTTGAGAAGACTAATGTCTTTGACCGCCTGTGCATTCCCAACAGTGAAGAGATCCGTAGCCTGATTCTAGGAGAATGCCATGACACAGAGGGTCACTTTGGTTGGCAAAAGACTTTAGCCAATCTCATGCGTGCGTATACCTGGCCAGGGATGAAGAATGACTGCGTAGAGTATGTTCGCAGTTGCAAAGTCTGCCAGCGTAATAAGAGTTCTACGCGCGCCCCGCTAGGTCTTCTCAGACCCTTGCCCATTCCGGATCGGCCGGGAGACTCAGTGTCAATAGATTTCATGGACACTGAAGTCAAGAGCAGGCATGGCAAGAGCCAASTCATGGTCATAGTTGACCGCTTTAGCAAGTACGCAGTTTTTGTTCCTTTGCCTTCAGAGGCGCGTACTGATTTAGTCATACAGAGGTTCTTTGACTTTAGGGTTAGTAAGAACGGAATCCCGCTGTCAATAGTTAGCGATAGAGATAGTCGTTTTACCAGCCAGAACTGGCAAGAACTCATGAGAGTATATGGGTCTAAGTTGTTGATGTCGTCCGACCGTCATCCAGAGACTAACGGTCAGACAGAGCAAATGAACAAGGTCCTACAGCAAGTTCTGCGCATGTATATTAGGCCAGATCAGATTAACTGGGATGAGATGTTGCCCAAAGTAGCTAGTGCGTCTGTCTACATGTCGCACTCCCAACGAATTGCACGAGTCCTTTAGACCGCGCAGACCGTTTGAGGGACTCAACCGGGATCAGATTCACAGATTGCCACCCGGAACCCGGGAGTTTGCTGTCCAGCACGAGAAAGAACTAGCTACCGTTGTAGAAAACCTCAGGAAAGCCCAGCATAAGATGATAGAGAAAGCGAACAAACATCGTCGCCCTTCACAGTTCCAAGTAGGCGACTTAGTCTGGGTTAGTTCCAAAGAGTTTGCGCCTGAGGAGAACATCTCGCAGAAGTTACTGCCCACATATAGAGGACCGTGGCCTGTTCTAGAAGTCAAGGGCGGCGAAGATGGACCGTCCTACACCATAGAGCTACCAGCACACCTCCACACTTACCCAGTTTTCCATGCGTCAAAGTTGTTACCTTGTCAAACAAGTGATCAGTTTCCATCCCGTAGATCGATGATCCC